CACACACACACACACACACACACACACACACACACACACACACTGTCCAAGTTTCCTATTTCTCTGACCATCCTTCATGCCCATCTTTATTTCACTTATGTCCTTTGTGAGGACAGGAAACATAAGTTCATCAACCCAGCAGGGCCAGGCACATGATATGGGCTCAGAAATTGTTTGCTCCAGGCCAGGAGTAGACAGGTCACATCTCTCCTGTCCAGACCATATCCCACAGATTCTAGGGCTGGATGGACACTAGCAGGCTCACCTGGGTCACTCGTGAAAGACAGATGTCACTGGGAAACAGGCTTCTCCCTTTCTATTCTTAGCATCAGTCCCTCAGTCCACCTGAGACATGAGAGCCTGAGATCTTCCCATCATCACATCCACAGCCTCAAAGCAAGCTCCTGCCAGTTCTAGGCCAGTCTAGGCCTTTCCCTCAGGGCAGAACCCCACCCAGGCTATGGCCAGGTCCCAGACCCACTCCCCACCCCCAGCCCTGCCTGAGAACACCGTAGGCCAGCCCAGCCTAGCGGGCCTGGCCCATCAATCCTGCTCCCAGGGGTACAAACCAATTTCTCTTGCTTTCCTGAGCCCGTCTCCCTGGCGGAGCCTGGAGGAACCTTCAATCGCATTAATCCCAGCCTGGCGGCGGTGACGAAGACGAATTTCTCCACCAAACGATCCATTTGTATCTCTCCCGCACTCACTTGGTTTTTTCTGTGTGGATGTTCAAAATATCATGAAAAAGGCGTTAGCTGGGTAACAGTGGCGCAGCGAAATAATAGAGTGATCCGGCAATGCGCTCCTGACCTTGCAGGACAGCTAATCCATCCGCACATCTATCTTAATTATTCTCGGTTACAAAAGAGAAACTCCACCATCCATTCATTCCAGGCTGGCAATTCCATTTTCCACCCCCACTCACGCCCCATCCTTTCTCCACCATTCCCCTGGCCAGATAAACCCATTCACCACCACAATACTCTCCCCCATCCAGCCCAACACAGGCAGACCTGAGCCCACCTTTGGGCAGTACAGTATGGCCCAGCCCACTCACTTGAGATCTGGAGAAACACCAGGCTCTCTTCTCCAGAACTCCCACCAATGTCAAATGAAGAAGACCAGCTTCATACAGAATTTATTCTCAAACGTACTTGCATGCACACACACACATAAACACACACACACAACTTGACACCTTCCCATAAGCAGCCATAGACACAATTTTGTCCAGACTTTAGCATTTTGGCCTCCTCTCTCACAGACATAGCAGACAGGCCCATTTACATTCTCACCCCAGCCTCACTATTTGTACTCTCCTGCCACCCTGGCAGTGACTGAAGATGGGCATTTGACTAAGGGAAAGACCCACCCCACCGGGGTGTGTTGATCTATCTCCCACTCCCCAAGCCAACCCCCCCCCCAACTGCATCCTGTCAGGCCTTCTCCTAATGCCATCCAGTGTTGGAAGACAAAGGTTGGAATGTGAGAGAGGAAGAAAGAGAAACAGGTGCAGGAAGTGTGCAGGAAAGTTTAAGCCTAGATCCTGGAAGAAGGAGAAAAAGGAAGAAAGTAAGGGAGGGTGAGTGGGTGGTGAGAAGGTCACTGGGAGAGAGTGCAAAGGTGCCTGTCTGCCCATACATTTCCATCATACCTGATTCACTTTGAGGATGCCTGTGCTAGTCTCCAAAGCCCTTTCTAATTCTACCCCTTAATATATGACTTTCAGAGCCCTCATTCTAATGATTTTAATGCAATAAGCAAAACTAGGCATGTAATTGTCTTGGCTCTGTTTGGCCATGGAGGCTCCAGGGAACCCTAGCTTCCAGTTCCCATGCCCTTTTCTCCAATCCAGCCCTCTCTTCTCTGCTACCCCTCACTTTAGCCTCAGTCAACAAGTACATAATGAGACTTCTGCAGCTCTTGGGGCTGTGAGTGAAACAGAAGCAAGTGCAGTCCTGTCCTCATAAGACAAGACCGACTGGAGAAAGGACAGGAGGTGGCAATGGTCTGCTGGCCCAGCTTGGCTAAATTATCTGTGTTAGAGAAGGAGGGCTTCCTGGAAGGGCTGGATGTCCCCCTCCCCTCTTCCCAGAAGCAGCAGGCAGCCTGGGCTGGGCCTGCAGGGCGGTGTGCAGGGGAAAGGCCATTTGTCCCGAGACAATGGCAGAAAAGGGGTCTCCAAGCGGCTGTTGAGAGCCAATTTGTAGTGGTGACGGCGGAGCTTGCTCCAAAGGCTGGGAACAGCTGGAGCTCCGGGTGACTGATGGGTGGGCCCAGGAGAGGGGCCATTGGTCTGGCAGACACAAAGGCCCCGATGGTGCGCGGGTGGGGCCGGTCAAAATCATTAAGTGCTGAAGATAGGAACAGGCAGACTTCAGATGGGACCAGTGGGTTGGGAGAAGAGGTCAGGAACTTGCCCCTCCCTCCCTGCCGCCCCTCCTCCATCCTCCATTCCTGCTCCGGAAACTCGGCCACCCACACCCCTATTATCATCTGATTTGCATAGACACCCCCTCTCCAACCGCGGGTCCCTCGCCTCACTCCGTAGAGTCCACCCTTCAGTGATTCAGGGGTAACGTGGACCTGGTGAAGCCATCCGGCCCCTCACTGGGGGACTTGCCCACCCTCAAGCATTCAAACTCCTGCGGTGACCTTATCCACTTTTCAGGGGAAAAGGCATACTCAAATCAGGAACATGAAAGGCCTCCCGCGCCCAATTTCCAAAGGGAAGAAACTGAGGCTCAGGGTGCTGATTTCTGCTGCTCCTGGGCGTCTCTTCCCCCTGGTGGGAAATGCTTCTCCCACTTGACCTTCCCCAAGGGATGGGAGCGGGTACACCGGGAGGTGCCTGCGCCCTCCCCCGCTCCGCGGCACTCCCGGCAGGAGCCGGAAGCAGTGACCCGGCCAGGTGGTGATGATGCGGCCGGCCGCGCTGGTCACTCTTGGCCGCTCCCCGCGCGCAGCCCGACCCCCCTCGCATGGGTCACGGCGCCGGCAAAACTCCCTGACACAGAAACGCCGCGGGGCCTGCGCGTGTCGGGAACAATCCTCCGCCTGATGGGAAGCGACAGCTCCACCCCGCCTCCCTCCGCGACTTCCCTCCCGCAGCTCCTCCCGGCGCCGCGCCCCGCGCCCCGCTGCCGGCCCAGCCGGCCGGGGGCGCCCCAGCAGCGTGTCCCAGCCACCAGGTCGCCCCCCCACCCAGCCCTCCTGCGTGGCGTGGGGAGGGAGAGGAGACCTGGAGGAGCGGCTTCCTGGACGCGTGGCCTGGCAGCTGGGATGAGGAGCAGTGGGGAAGGAGGGGGACCCCCGGGGGCAAGGCACCCAGCGGGGCCAACTTGGGCGGCCCCAAGGTTCACATAGAAAAAAGACTGGAATGAAATAGAGCAACATGTAGAGGGGGCTTTTTCTGGGTGTGAATTGACAAGTGGGTTTTCATTTCTTATTTTTGCTTGTCTAGCTCCTGGGCTTTCTTTGTCTTTTGTGTTTGATTGTAATAAATATACCTTGTGTGCTCTCTCTCCACCAACGCCCCGCCGCCCCTATTTGTAAAAGCCAGGGCCCAAGAGCTGTTGGAAAGAGACCACACACAGGACAATAGGAATTATTCCTCCCGCCTCACTAGCCCTGGCCAGCAAGGAGGCTAGAACACTCTAGAAGGGCCCTGGGAGTTAGACCAGACCAGGGAGTGACCCTCACTATCAGGGGACCTTGGTCCTCCTCCCACTTCATCTGTAGAGACCAAAGGGGTGTGGGGAGGGGCACTGGCTGTAGAGGAAAGGCCTAGATGTACTAAAGTAGCCTCTCTGCACACACATGGGACATCCCGGGGTCACACTGGCATGCTAGCACATGTACATACACACACATGCATTCACACATCTATAAATGTATCATGGCCACCCACCCAAGAACACAAGAGCATTAGCAGCCCTCTTGTCCCTCACAATCCCTGCAAGTATATGATCACATGATCACTGCCCCCTATTCTCATCCTTACTCCAGGCTAGACCTTTCAGCAAGGAAGTACCTTCTTCACCATGAAGACCTGTTTAATCCTTCTTAAGCTTTTGTTCTGCTCACTTAGACCCAGTGTCATCCTCCATGTGGGCTTCACAGGAGGGGACTTGGTATGGAAAGAGCAGGGCCCAAGGAAGAAAATGAGGGATTCTTTCTTCTGCCCTACCAAACCCAAATGAGGGACCTATGTGGAATCCCTGTATACTATGGGCACCTTGAGCAAGGGGGAGCCCTTCCACCAGAGCAATACTTACTGCCCAGCTACTCCACAGAGCTGCTTCTGCCTCCACTCCTGCTAACTGCCATCCATCCTTTGAGGCCCAGATGCTTCAGGAAGCCTCCTTCCTAGTGCTGCCAGCTCACTCATATGTGGATTGTACCCCTCACTCTTCTGACATTCTTTCTACACCTTCACCATGGACTCTCCATGTTTGAATCCTGTGAGCTCCTACTGAGCAGAGGCAGAGCTCTTCTTGCCTCCCTCCATCTCCACACATCAGCTGACTTCTTGATGAATGAATGAAAAAGTTAAGGGATACTTGTGAATGTGACTGTGTCTCTGCTGCTATGGGTGACTGTGTGTGAGTGAAGAGGAGGGGGAGCAGAGGCAGCCACTGTGAAAATGTGAGCAATTTGCTCATTCCTCCCAGCTGCCCTGTGAGGGAGGTGTCCATTTGATAAAGACATGAGCTCTCAGAGAAGCTATGCTATTTCCCTAAAGTCACAAAGCTTGCCAGATTGTTAGACCCTAATGCAGAGGATATTTAATGCTCTGCCCCCCTCATGGCCCAGGACAGTGCAATGGTGAAGGAACTACTACTTTCTGGTAAACTTGTTGCTCCACCCCACCTCTTCAGACTGAAAGGTCCTCTGTTCCCCTCTCCTAAGGGACCTAGGTCTATCTTCCTCTTCCCAAGTTCTTTCTTCAGCCCTAATGTTCCTTGCTTCTTTCTCTCTCTCATCATCATCATCATCTCTGCCCAAGATCACTCTCCTCAGTGTTCTTTGACCTCAAACACTTTCCAGGAAGCTAGGATCAGAATCTTGGTTCTACCACTGATTAGCTGATGGCATTGGCCAAATCACTAATCACAAGTCCTCTCTGGCCTGGATTTCCCCAAATGTATGGTGGGATTAGAGTTGGTGATGTCTGAGTTCCCTGCCTTCTCCCAGTCTCAGCAATCTGGGCTCTAATCCTGGTGAGAGGAGGGTAGGAGCAAGCCAGCACCTCACTCAGTCCAGTCTGCCCCCCAGGGGTTCAAGCTCAAAGAGGGCTGGAAAATGCTGTGAATTAATTACCATCAGACCTCCAGCCGCTGTTCATCTCTGTAAACAAACATTTTAATATGCAGTAATTAATTACATCTGCCACACTGATCCTCATCCTTCTTCAGCTTTTCTTCTGCTCACCCTAGACCAACCTCCTCTTCCCGGATGGGGCCTGGAATGGAGGCAGGGCCCCTTCTGCCATCTCCCTGGCCTTCTCCCCTACCATCAGATGCAGGTGCTCACATCTGCCTTGCAACTGTGCGGCTTTTTATTGTTTTTTTTTTTTTTTTTGACTTGCTATTGTCCTGTCTTTCTGACAGTCCTTTGTCTCTACTTCTTTCTGCCTAGATTTCCCTCCCAACAAAGTTTGATGTCAGGGACACATCCTGAAGGGAGGGGGAATTGAAGAAGCTAGTGAATCCACCCCAAGTGCCTGAGCACACTCCTCAGAGTCTAGGACCCAGCTAATTTGTAGGGATTATCCAAAAGCTAAGAGTCCAGTTCTGGGAGCATTTCCCTCCATTC